CGACAGCGACAGCGCCAACGACAACGACAAAACCTGACTCGGTCAATTGTTCCGACAATAGCGACGCATGAATGAAGCTTTGACCTAATCGATCCGGCCTAAATCTACAGCGACATCCTCTCCGACCTCTCACCAACGTTAGAAGTATCGTAGGTTTTTGTGTGGCGGCGCGCACCTGACGAACTCTATCCGACCGCGTTTCTGCCTTTGAAAGCGGTGTACCACTTTCTTCACTTTCTTCTTGTCTTTCTGAACCTTCTGACTCTCGGCACACTCCGACTTCCAACGTCTTCCTTCATTTTTACTACGAGTTATACCATCTGCATGTCTCCGACCACGATCTTTAACTTCCAGTCTCGTCGCTTAGACCCGAACCTCGTAACCGTGATCGCGACATCATCAGAAAACTAGCACATTGCATATCTCAATCGGCGATCATATTACGCCAAGTCGCATTCATTTATCAATATCGTATTACAAGTTAGAGAAGGAACTCGCCAGTATTCACTTACGAAGGGAAGAAAAAAAGGAGGCGGCGCTGGTAGCGAAAGCTTTGATACGAAGTCGATCGATCGATCGCATCGAAACTGCGACAACGATTGTAGAAACCGGAAGCGCATGATATAGTGATTACAGTTGGGCGTCGATATCCACGCCGTGGATAGTCGACACTAATAGAAATGATGGCGACGGGTGGTTTCCATCCGGGCATGCAACAGCATCCCGGTGTTCATCCTGCCCACCCCATGGGTGCACCCGGGATGGCTCACAACCCAAGCCAACCGGGTGTCCAGCCGGGCATGCCTCCTCAGATGGCTGCCCACATGGCCGTATCCGGGCCCGGCGGTCAGGTCAATCCTGCTGCCATGATGGGAGGTATACCGCCTGGTGCTGGCGGTCCGAATGCCCATGCCCTACAGCACCTTAATCCTCAGAGTCAGATGTTCCAACAACAGTTCTGTGTGTTTATTACCCTTCCTTCATGCCCCTGTTCTCGGCATTGCCTACTGACTAACCTCCACTTCTATAAGTAGTTCAAAACCCACAGATGGTCGCCATGCAGCAGCAGCGATTCCTACAACAACAACAGAGAATGATGCAGCAGCAGCAGATGTACGGCGGTGCCATGCCTATGAACGTTCAGGGCATGAATATGGCGCAATTCCAGGCCTTGAGGCAAAACGCTACTAATATGCAACGAGCCGGTATGCCTCAACATCTACAGCCGCATATGGCTCAGGGACAACACCCAAATGCCCAGCATGCTCAGGTAATAAACAATAAACCCTTCCATACTGACTTATCGCTAATTCAGCTCGATGCTTATAGCAGCAGCATATCGCGCAACAGTTGCTACTACAGCAGCAGCATCAACAGGCGCAACAACAAGCCAATAACGTACATCAAGGCAATCAGCCTGGCCATCCTGGACAAATGACCCCTCAGCAACTCCAGCTCCAGCAAGCTCAGCTCGCACAGTCGATGGCGCAACAAGTCTCACAAGGCCCCCAAGGTCCTCAAGGGCCCCAGGGGCAAGGTCCTCAGCCTCAACCTCAACCCCAACCCCAACCTCAGGGACAACCACAGCAACAGGGACAGCAGCCCCAACCTCAGCCACAGCAGCAACCCGGACAACAGCAGCCGGGTCCGCAGCCGAACCAACAGCCTCACCCGAATACACAAGGTCCTCAGAGAGCTCCTACACCCGCCGTCTCACAACCGAATCAGCCCCAAAGTCAGGGGCCGAGTCCTCAACAGCCTAATCAGCCGCAACAGCCTCAGGGCCAAGGACAGGCGCCGAATGGTCAACAGACTCAACCCCAACAACCCACCGCCCAGTCGCTGCAAGCCAACCAGCAACACTTGCAGCTCCCGACAAACATCCAGCAGCAGTTGCTACACCACCAGCAACAGCAACAGCACAAGAACGAGGGCATGAAGGGCCATTGTCTGTTAAAGTTGCTTCAATTTGGCGAACATCTGAGCGGCTACCACCCTGTAAGTAACAAGTCTACCGAGTCACTCGCCATTCTAGTCTGCCCCTTATTCCTGTAACTCGCACGAAAAGCAATCATTGACGAGCCGCATTCGATAGGTGACGAAGGCGAAAGATGACCTCACGTATTGGAATAACTTCGTCGCGCAGTTCTTCTCGGCGAGGGGAGTCTTCAGGCTGTCTCCGTTCTATCTCGGTTCTGACTCGACCACGAATGAGGACCAGAAAGATAGACAGTACGAAATTACACAACCCGCGCTAGCGCGATATTTCCATACCCATTTCGAGAGCGGCATCAGGAAAATCAACCTGACCTTCGAGAAAGGCATCACCGACAGACCCTTGCCGAACGGTTGTCATTATATCGAAAACCAGAGAGCAAATTTGACCTACTGGTTTGACAACTCACACGTAAGTCATATAGACCGCTATCTGGCTCGCCGTTTGGGCATCAGTATCCTGACGATTAGTTGAACAGGTCGTTGCGACAGGCACTCTCCGAGCGCATTTCGACAGTGAACAAAAGCTAGAGCTGTTGGAGTTTATCACGCAAGGCCATGAGGAGTACCACTCGAGGAAGATGGTTATTGAGGCTGCAAAGCCAGCGCACAACTGGGTCAAGGAATGGCTCAAGGTAAACGGCCAGGACTCACGATCTCCGGAGATGAGCAAAAAAGGAAAAGCAAAGCAGATGAAGTCGCCGCCGAACCCACCTCCTGATATCGACTTGCCGCAGTCGGCTGTTAAACAGAATCTAGGCATCACGGAGGCCGTATTCCAATTCCTCGAGGTATGAGCTTCTTGCTATGTGGCTGCTGATGTATACTTGTACTAACGTGTCATTTCAGATCATCGAAGTAGTCGGGATGATGAACGTGAGTGGATCCAGCTCCAAAATGCTGATCGCATCCCTTTAAGGATCTCATGGATATTAATTTTGTAACGTATACTGACACATGATTCCCAGCCTCTGTTCAACTTCTACCATACGCATCCCGGCCTCTCTCCATACGCGGCTCTCGAGCAGTACGTCGGCCAGCATATTACCAATGCTCCACAACAACCCGTGGTGAATGGCGCGCCCCAAGGAAACGGCCCGGTTAACCCACGGACCCCCAGCTTCGGCCAATTCCCCATGGGCGCCTCGCCAGCGACCACACACCTCCAGCTTCCCAATTCGCCTCACATGGGCAGCCCCGCCCAGGGGCATATGCAAGCGCCAGGTATGCAATTACAGCAAAGCCAACAGGGAACGAGCTCTAGCGGACCCAGCGCCAACACAAGTCCAGCAAGTAACAAGCGGAGGAGACCGTCAACGGTCAAGACCGAAGAGGAGAGCGGCGCCCCGACACCCGCAAGTATGGGCGGCCCACAGATCAACGGCGTCAATATGGCGAAAAAGCCGGGTACGCCCCGAATGTCCCATAAACGCGCGAAAGTCAACCCCTCCTGATAATATATTTCGGGTCTATCCTTTCTACTTTGAGTGGACCAGGGCCGGCCTCGACAAGAGAAAGATATACATACAAATTAAAAATACAAGACTACTAGCATATTGGCGTCGCCTCTGGATACGGAAATTCGGAATTTTCTTCTCTGTACTGTTGCCCGGACTTCGGCTTGGGGCCTGCGACTGTTTTATACGCACACACATTCGGCTGGACGTTCAGGAACTTGCTTACTTGCATTACCCGGGGACTTGGAATGGGTTTGGAGGCTCTTAGCGATTCCCGCACCCACGATTGACGTGTCTTCGACAGCGCTGGATTAATTACTTGATACGATACGTCTCGGTTCAAAACCCCAGTGGAAAGCAGCGAAGAAAAATGGCGTTGGTCACTCGGTTGCTTTTTTGTGTTTCCGATTGATTTTAGTCGAGTTGAGTCGACTTGTTACGGGGTTTTATCAATGCGGTTGTGTCTTGCGACCCGCGCAACCTGTGGCTTGTGACCGAGTCTCAGGAAAAGGGGAAGGGGAATTGATGATTAATTCCGGTGCTTTGATACTTATACCTACGAGCAAAGCAAGCAGAACAGAGCAACAGCAGAATCAAGGGTCGTCTCTTTTTTGGAGAGTGAGAATTCACTCCGTGTACGATATTTTCTATCACCGTCACCATTACCTACCGCTGCCGAACACCTGCATGCTGGCTACCTAGTTAGCTGGCTCTCTATTATATGAGCGATTACCACTACCCCATTTTATTTATCATTTTCTGTTGCTCTTGTTTTTTGTGTCGTTGCTATGGTTTGATATTCTTTTTTTGAAGTCGTTTGTGCAGCCAAAAAAAAATCTCATCGGGTCGGGAGCAGGGAGTAGAAATGGGGATAGCAGAGCAAAGCGCCGGTAGAGATTAACATAGCAAAGCTAGCTGTTTAGCTAGCTGGCTGAGGTGCGAGATATATGGACCATGGATATCCTTGATGCTAGGGGAGGTAGGGGAGGTAGGGGCATGCTATGCATAAAAGAAGATTGCTGTAATTGGCAAATTTTGTGTTGTGCCGTCTTGATGACTAGTGACTGGATGCGAGGTGAGATGAGATTGTAGTACCGATGCACATATGTGCTATATCCAAGTATTGTATCGTTGTGTACCTACGACTCCTTTGCCCCTTTCTCGACTTTACGGTTGTTGTAACCAGTATCACGGTATTGCTATTGTACTAGTAGTTACAAAGTATGATGAAGCTACACATAACCACCAAATAAATCTCGCAATGCTTCATATTCAATCGTATATGTTTTCTACGCACTGCCATTTGTTCGGCTACACCATTCCATACTTGCTTTGTCGGTGACTCTATTCCACTTCAAAGCATTATACGCCGATGCCACTATTAATCAAACTGAAATACACATGTAGAGATTATGTAGACTGAAGCTAAGAGTAATTAACAATGCTTCCTTTCACAGATAAACAGCCAAAGAGACATCGGCATCAAGTCTACTTGGTATGTAAGGTGCAATAAGACACCGATATGATATCCACCTCCCAAGGTGCAACGGTGAGATGGCCGAGTGGTTATGGCGCTGCGTTCAGGTTAAGCTGAATTCATAGGTATTATAAAATATCGCAGTGGAGCAATCCGCGTGGGTTCGAGTCCCACTCTCATCATCTAGTTTTTTTTTTTTTTTTTGTCCCTTTGGCTGCCGATGGGCAAGCGTGAAAACTTTTCATACCATTTCACATACTTCTTTTTTATGTGCTTCTCGCTTAAGTGATATGTACGTACGCATTAATTAACGCATTGCTGAAGACGGTTATTGATGGTTGTATTACCGTCTTGTTGTATTGATTCTGCTACTACCCCCTTTTCGAAGATGTACGTGTAACATACCTAGGTAGATTATAGTAGAACACCATAGTTGTGCTCATGAAATTATTCTATAATCTGTCTCATATTGTTAGCATAAGCTAATGAGCTAACGTCTGTATTCGTAGATGTTACCGCGGCATCTCATTCATTAACCGAAGCCTTCCCTCCGGGATTAGAGATGCTAATAGTGAACCTCAACTCTTGCATACGAAGCTATCGTTGTTGTGCATTATTCTGTCCTTCTTTTCAGATATCACGCAATAGTAAAATCACATTAAGAAGGCTTTTTCTTGCTGATATATCGTAGTAATATGGTTGTTTCTGTCTCCTCTACCTTTTTAACTACCCCTTAGGTTTAACAATTGGCGTTCTACTTTCTTATCAGCGCTTCGATTCTGCCGAACTGTTATTCCAAAACTACCTATAATTGCCAACTACTATAGGTACATGTATATATGGTGCTCCACTCATGTTTCTCTAGCTGGTTGTCACGACCTGGCTATATCCCCTCAACGGGTATCTGCAATATGAAATATGCAGCACGAAGATGTCTGCTGACTTATCGTGGCGGTGCATACCTTTTAGGTTTAAGTTCGGTGGGCGAGAGCCAGCACTAGTAGAGTCTAGTATGCTAAAAGATACGGTATATGAGCTGATGTTGTGTGTATTGACTTAATCATCTAGCTGTATGAGTGGAGGGAGAGCACTTGTCTTATATACATATTCTAGCCATGTCCTCATGTACTGTACCTGAAAGCAGTCCCTTGACCACTCATTTCAGCATAGTAGTATGCTCGCGCCTCGTGGATAACAACCTCAACCTCTGGTTGTTTCGCTCTTTACTCTTGCATGTGGGCGCCTTTCACCATCTCACAATGTCTGTATTCGCATCGCCTTCAACGGCGTCCACCAATATGGCAAACGTGTCTCGTTGAAGAAGAAGTCAGCAGAGCACTGATGATGGCACATGACGAGGGAGGTCACTTCTCACCACCCATTATGCTCAAAAAGCTCAACCAGTCAGTGTATTGGCCATGCATGTCGAGAGATGCAGCAGACTACTTCCTCGGTTGTCTACGCTGTGCAAAGTACAATCCTGCAAAGCCGAAAGCCCCAAACCTACCTATCACCATTTGCGCACCATACCAGATCCTCGTTGTAAACTTTGTCGGACCATTCCCTACAACCGTCAAAGGAAAGAAATACCTCTTGTGCATTGTTGATGTCTTCAGTCGATATGGCTGGGCATACCCAACGAAGGATTGTCAGACGAAATCAGCATCACGGAAAATTCGCAAATGGAGGGACCAGCCGGGATGATTCGAACATGCGCTCCCGAAGGAATATGATTTCATCGGATCAGAGTCAGCCGAGCCCTACATTTAAATTCACAAATCCTCAAGACCTTTTCAAACTCATAGATACCACATCAGGAGATTTTCTGATTATTACCGGTATATTGATTATTGTCAAGCCCTATTTTTGCATTATTGACTGACAAAATTAGACGTAACTCCTCGCGATTTCGCTCATCTCGACGAACAGCGAGGATTCCGCTGGCGTCGATATTACGCCGAGTCCCAAATTCTACTTGTCACAATACCTACACATGCCCACGAGATGCTGCATTGCATACTCTATGAGAAATTCCATGAAAAAGTCCCCACGAGAGAAAATACTTGGCGTACCAAAGCCGCGACAAGTCTATCTCGTATAATGTCACTAGCGGAGCGTTATTATTAGTTCTTGTTTCTTCGAAGTCCGGGAGAGGGAGAGGGAGAGGGAGAGGGAGAAGGTGATATTATAATTAGCGTTTCGGATTTGCAACGGTATGCGGAATGTGTCTGGGATTAAATAAATGCTAGCCATGTAGTCACGTAGGACAGGCGGCTCTGTAGGTCGTGTTAGAAGGTAGTCTTAGTAGCCTGTACGCTTAGCTGCCTGTACGGATGGAGTCGTGCCTGGTACGAGGGGAGTTGTCCCTGATACCAGAGGACCAGCCCTTAGGGCCTATATCCCGGGATGGAGGCGTTCACAAGGAACAAAGGACGCCTAGGGTATATAGGTCTGTAGTTCTAGCTAGATAGGGGTTGAGGCTCCTTGCGCGACAACATAGTTGCTTCCTAGGCTTCTTGGTCCACCTTGTGACAGGTCGCATGTGGCATGGGGGATGGGGGATGCCATTTTCAGGTCCCAAAACCTCCAGTCCTGGAGGCGTCTAGGTCGTGTAGGCATCATTTGTATGCGAAATGTAACATGGCGGAAGTGCCCTTCTACTTTGCCCAAGTCTGCCATCCAAGGGATCCGCGGGACTCCTCCCCACGGCATACGTGGAAATGCGTATGTATCTTAGGGACGCGGCTAGCTCGCACCCGGAGCGAAGAAGCCCCAAAAGCTGGCGCAGAAAAAGGAGTCCGAGGACGACGGGCCCGCCATCACTACAGAAGCCCGGACGGGCCCGGGAAAAAAACGTAAAGAAGCCAAGAACGCAAAGGAGAAGAAGGCCGCTATCGCCAGGAAGTTACGGGTTTACCCTTCCAGGCGACACGCCCCGGCGCGACTCTGAAGACTCGGATGCCGGGTTGGCCCCGGAAGAACCGCGGACAAGCAAAGAAAGAAAGCCGCCATCGAGACGAAGAATCGGTTCGCCCTCCTTGGCGACATGCCCAGCAACTCTGAAGAAGACGAGGACTTGTACGTTGGTTGCTACGGTTCCCGGGGACGGGCCCTTGTATGCGTCGGAAAACAAGGGGGGAAATTGTTAGTATACTGCGCTAGATGGCTCGTGGAATTTTATGGTAAGGGACGGACGCCTGTATATTGGCGATCATACCTTATTTAGTTGCATGTAGTTATTAATTTTTATGAGATCTCGCAAAACTCGCTGCGTGAGACGTTTCTACTCCATAATAGTTGATCTTGGTGGTGGTTCTTGCTAGCGAGTTCGCGGAGCAGTTATAGTAGCTATAGCATTTCTTATTATATTGCGACGATTTCAAGGTATTCTTACCTCATCCTGGACCCGATGAACTGGGGCCAGTGTAGGAGAAATCAGGCGAGGTACAATACTGCGAGGCGAATCTATAAGATCCGAAGTGTCGTCCGAAGGAGACCTGCTGTCTTGGTATTGAATCATCAGTTTAGTAATCGGACAACTAGACGCGAAGGAGTAGTGGGCCCTACAATTTGACTATACGGTCTTTGAGGGTCGAGATTTTAGTGTATCTTCATAGCAGATCGATCACACTAGTTCCATTAGTAAGTAGCTGGAGAAGCCGATGGCGTAATCACCGGAATTACGCTAAACGCGATGCTCTTGTCATCAACCCATAGATAGCAAAGACTACAACACATATGTAGTTTTAGATGAGTCACATTACGATCCGACCAGCACAGAATGAGCTGAACTGACTGAACTTGTGGATAGAGGCACACTGGTATTGATGATATGAAATCAAAGAGAGAGTGCATCATCTAACGTCCGTCATCCACATCTTTCGGACCTCGACGTGTGATTAGGCGGGAAGACGCAAAGCAACTCCTAGCAACAAACCATCTCTGCCGTGACGTGACTGGCTATTCCTGCCCTACCCATAATTCATTGCCACTAATGATCACATCGTGTTGTCGTTCCAACCCAGAAAAACCGTAACGCCGTTGGGGGAGAAATCGGGAGAAATATAGGCAGTCATTTAGGCAGCCTCGCCGAACGTGTTCTCGCCCGAGTAGGTTATGTAGAGAAATCTACACGAACAGATTTGTCAGCTTGAAGCCTGTAGATAGGAGAGGAAGCTAGGTTGGGGGAAGGAAAAGAAACATACCCGTCTTCATCTTTGTGCTCCTCGTAGATGCTGCTCATGAGTGCGGCGGTCGGAGGTAGAACCTCGTCGACGAAGATGAAGATAGCCTTCTCGGGAGACAGCTTGATACGCTTTCGGATAACGTAGACGAACTGGCCTACGGTGAGATCGGCGGGGACAAGGTACTTTTTCTTGTCAATGGTCGCGATGTCGGATTTCTCAACCTTCTCGCAGATGACCTAGTATAGCACCACGTATTAGAACTCGAAATCTCGATTTAAGAGAGCAAGGAAGCGGTGAGGAGATTGGGAGCAGGATATGTGACAATGACGAGTGCGAGCTAGAGCTTCAAAGGAAGCGACCGCGATGCGGAGCTCGACGTGAGATAGAACAAACAAGTAGACGAGGGGGATTGATACATACCGGAATGCGGTCGGCATACTTCTGGCGGATGCGCTCGGCCTCGGCCTTGCGCTTCTCGAAAGGGTGCTCGTCCTTAAACTTGGATCGCATCCTGACGGTGTGGCTGTGGTCTAACGTCGAAATGAGTTGGGTGAAATGCGAAGGTTGACGACGGGTTTGTTGTTGTTGGGAGAAATACAAGTGGACGGCGACTTACAGAGATAAAGAAAGAAAGATGATGATGATGGATGGTTTTGGTTTGGGTTTGGGTTAGATTTGGTAGAGGTAAGTAGTAAGGTATTGAGGTTTAGGTTGAAGGCACCGACGGTTTACGTGGGGGGGTGGAGGAGGGAGGAGCAACCTTACAACCTTACTGGGGGGCAGGTGATTTGGCTTTAATGACCATTGGTAATGATGGAAAGCGACGAGTGACTTCAACTGGTGCGCATTGGCTGAGCCACTGATACAGTCACCGATAAGCTTAGGCTAGTGGGTACTAGGTACTGTCTACAGTACGTCCGCATAGTACCTTCCGTATCTTCCATTTTACTACTGTATGTACTTTCCAGGCAGTTTAGGCAGTGCACATGTGTGAG